CTTGATGTTGTCTTGATGCTGACAGTTGTTTTGAGTTCCATATGTTCTTCAACTTTACAAGTACTGTCCTTTGTTCGCCAACAGTCCCCTTTACGTCCTGCAACTAAATCATTCAATTTCAAAGATGATGCTACCCAGACATGTGAAAGTTTAAACCTCCTCCAGAGTATCTCCATCAAGTGTAATTTGGTTTGTGTTCTCTGTGTTGTATTTAAAGATCTAGATTTTCCCTTGAAGCCTACTGATACAAAGACTGCTGATACATTGCTGTTTTGACCTGCATTTGTTGACGTGTATGAGATAGAAGTGCCAGGTCATCTGCGAAGTTCAAATCGTTTAGTGGCATCCAACTCATCCATTCTATTCCGTGCTTCCAATCAGATGTACAGGTATTCATAACCCAATCAATCACCAGGTGAAAGAGGAAGCGACACACTAAGCACACTTGTCTGACTCCGGTTCTCACTTACAATACATTTGTCAGCTGTCCTCCATGCACGACTTCGCAGTGTAGTCTGTCATATGAATTCCGTATGATATTGACGATTTTCTCAGTTACATCATTGTACCGAGGAAGTTACCATATTGTTCTCCTATCCACACTGTCAAATGCTTTCTCACAATCAACGAACTTGATGTACAGTGTTGAGTTCCACTCAACCGATAGTTCAACGATGATCCGCAATCTCGCAATTCGGTCTGTGCATTACCGATCTCTACAAAATTCATCTCGTTTATCTCGAAGTTGGATTACTACTGTGTTTTTCATTTGGTCCAACAACACTCTGTTGAAAGCTTTTTCTGTTACTTATATGTCTGACATCAGTTGTTCAACTGGTATATTGTCAGGTCGTGTTGCTTTCCCACTCTAGATTTGTGTGACTTGTATGATGACCATCCGTCGTTGGTGGAGTGACATTTATCGGAATGTCTGTAGGTGCTGCTTCGATATCTCGTGGATTCAATTTTGGTGGTCGATTCAAAACTTTCTCGAAGTGTTCTACACATCTGTACCGCCGTCCTTGAATTTCATTGATTTTCTTACCTTCATTCTGCTTGAACGTTCTCTCTAGTTTCCTTTATTTCCCTCCTGGTTTCTTCGTTAATTCATATAAATCTGTCATATTTCCTTCTCTTGTAGCTTTTTACACTGTCATTACTAGCTCTTCCACATATTTTTGCTTTTAGGCTCTAATGCTCCTCCTCACTAGCTTGTTTACTTCTGTGTACTCAGCTTATGCCTTGACTTTCTCTGTTCTTGTTCTACTGTTGTTACTTGTTATCCTCTCGTTCTTCCAATCTTGAATCTTGTCTAAGGTTTTTATAGAGATATATTCGTTATGATGGTGCTTTTTGCGGCCCAGAACCTTCTGACGCATTGAAGTTAGCGCTTTGAAGGAATGGAGTTGCCAACCGCTCCCTCTTCTTTACCTGTGCTTGGGACCGGCAGTGGCCCCAGAAGAGCTAAACGCGGAGTTATTCAAATGGGTAACTATGTCATTGAATAGAATTAAAGTATTTTCTATGTTCCGACACTTCTTATGCCCAATTTACTGGTTTTTTTATTCATAAAAATATGTCACCGCGGCTTGTGTGATTCATTTTTCCTTTACAAAAATTGGTAACAGTATAATTTGCTTTAAATCAACACTGTTATTCACATAATTAGTGTTAAGAAACCCAATCCTTGTCATGTTTGTTCCTATTTACCTTCAGTTTTTTATATCTTACCTTCGTAACTCATAATATAAAATTGTGTCTTTAACGTAAGTTTTCAGAAAAATTACAGTTTTTCTCCTTAAAAATGCTTCATCAAACAATTGATCGACAGGCAAACATATATATATGTGCCCCCGTACGGCCGAGAGTGAGGGGAGTCCGCTTTCCCTCTCGAAATGCTCTCACATGGCCACGCGTATATAGCCTCTGCCAGGGAAGTCCTACTCACTGCTTTCTCGCACCACGGGTGTTGTTTACGAGATTGAGTGGACGAAAAGCGAATGTCCGGCGCTTTAACCGGACTGATGGATATGGAGAGTCCACCTAGGGGATTTGGAAAACCCTGATTCAAAAGCAATGGTCCACATGGGCTGGCTCCAGCATTCTGAAGGAACAAATGTCTTATAAACCAATCGTTGGTCATCAGCTACCATGGGACTGCATCTCCTTACGTTGCTCCACTGCCTTGTGGATCAGACGTTTAGGTCGAACGCTCCGGGTGTGACCTCCTAAGAAAACCGTCCGCTTCGGTTTGGGCGCCCAGGCAGTATCACAGCCCTCTCATATATCAAATGAGTTTTGTGTGGTGCATATGTATTTGGTGTCTCCTTGTACCAATATCTATGTGTTAAAATAAAATAAATAAATAAAATATCATTTTCTTCATATCAGGAGCTGACGTATAAACCAACACTTTAATCTTCTGTTACTGATAACAATTTACAATTTATTACTATCTGATATTTGTTTATTGATAGTAACATTAGTTCTTACAGTTCAGATGGATTAACCAGTTACATTTAAGTTTAATTTCATCTAAAAAAACCAGTCTCTCGATATTGTCATAATTTAAAACAAATGTTTTTTGCATTTTTCGGTTGCATGAAATCTGTCTCCTCAGCATTGTTCGTGAATTTATACGATTACTGTATACTGAACGCAAGATCAATAATATTTTTTTCTCAAAATATTCAAATATATTACTCTAATAGTGTCAGTTATAACTGTTGCCGAATTGATACTAACCTCTTGCGTTGTAACCATTTGGTTGTCATGCCAACCTGAACATAATTACATTCAAAATAAAAGCATAATTTCTCACATTTTCATTGTCACATATGTGAGTAAACAATTCAAATAAGAAGAATAAGTCAATAATGTTCTATATATTGTAGGTTTACGCAATAAATTATAATGTGATATAAGAAAATCTTAAGAAAATTCTTTTTTATTAGTTAAATTATTTATCGCTTATCACAAGATATAATAATTACAAAATTTGATATTAGTATATTAACTTTACTGAGATAATTGAACAGAGTACTTAGTTAATCTTTGTCAATCAACCATAAGAAGTTTATCATATTTACCATAGTTTTAATACAGATTACTAAAGCTACAAATTAGTTTTAAAGTGAATATTACGTTAACAATAAAATTACAATATATACGCACCGCTGAGGAGTCCCATACTAGAACGAAACGGCCGTGCCGTGCTTCCAGGTTTTTCATGGTGGTCTAGCTTTAATTGACTCATCATTTCAATCAAAAACTTAACAATCTCCACAACACCTAAACTGAGAATATTAGGAATTATTGCCCTATCACCAATTAATAACAGTGAAATGGAATTATATTAAACTAACCATTTGTAAATAATGTCAATCAATACTAGGAGATAAAAAAAAGAAACAGTGTATCAATGATATGATTGAAAAGTAATGTTAGATACACAGTTATTTTCCAACTGTATATAGTTACAAATCTCATTTGAAATTTATAGAACAAAAAATAGGTGATTACATCGAGAAATAGAACGTAATTGGATTAATTACTTGATATTCTGTTGGTAAAATAAATGTTCACATATTATCAACATTAGTAGAGAGCATTCTCTGGAAACACTACCATTTGAGATGGTGGAGAAGATTTGTAGCTCAGGTGGATGATTTTGGTGGAGTTTTGTTCTCTGAGCTGGATGGTTTGGTCGTGGAGCTTTCATCGCTCTTCTGAACATCATCAGCACAAACTTCAGATCTGAAGTTTGTGTTCCACCAAAAAAATACTACCATTTTTAAAAAAATTTATTGATTTAACAATTCTGTTTTCTGTTGTTCACTGAATCATTACACTATCGGAAAACATTAAGAAGATACAATGATTTTACGATTTAAACATGAAAATTTCCATTTAAACAATAAGAAATTAGTTATGAAAAATAAGTTTCAACAAACTATTAGTTCAGAATAAGTAATTTATTGAAATGATAAGAAATAAGTAGTGAAATATACCTTATATAAATACAAAAACAAAAATGATAAACATTCATCCTACTTAGAGTGTCTGTACTCTTCTGTAAAAGAACTTTCATTATTTTTGATGTTACATAGAATATATCTGTTACAAATTGATAAGCTTTCATCAATTGATTTTTCCAAGTTTACTTATCTATGCACCTTACTATTTAAATTTATCATGAAATTATAAATAACTCATTGTTTTATGAATAGAGTAAATGAAAAACATATAAAGATTTTACATGAAAATATCAACCAAACAAAAATGCCTTTTTGTTATTTTACTTGTATCTTCCGATTGTTGTTTAGGACTGTTGACGAGTCCAAAATAGGACAAAACGCGCGTACTAGATTTCACTGCTAGCCACTATCCATTTTTGCTTAAAAATGAATTGTGCTTAAATTTGTGAATAAATTCGTTTTTTATTTGTCACGACGTTTAATTGGTCAGTTAATTGACCAATCAAAACGAAATAATAATAAAAAATAATTTCTTTAATCAAGATATCCGGCAAATAAACTTCGCAAATAATCTAATAAAATCATTTAAAATTTATGAATAATAAAGTATTACTTTGACTTCCCAGTAGAAAAAAATTATGATTAATTCCATCTCTTAGAATATGATGTACCTGGATCGTATTTCACCTTTATTAATGATAGGCTTGATTAACTGGAACCTAGTTTTATCTGAATTCATAGCATATGGATCTAATACTATGAATAAAAATACAGAAAAAGTTTTAAATTCTGTTATTTCTAAGAAGCAATCTGAATTACTAGAAAATTTAAAGTCTTCATCAGCATCAATACATACACAGGATACTTCAAATGAATATATGTTAAGTGATCATCCATTATCTGTAATTAACTTTAATAGGCATCAAAAATTTTCGTATCTAAATGATATGCAACCAGAAAATGTTGATAATTCAAAACATCCATTATTATCTGATCCATTGTTTGATCCTTCAATTCTTACAGATACTGCTGCTCGTGTAATTCAATCCAACCGTTGTACAACAGAAGAACGCCAAAAACGAATACAATGTTTCGAGGTACTACCTGCGGAACAGTATGCTATACCATTAGGACATACAGTGAATATGCAATGTGTTGTTTTAAATCAGCATGGAAAAGTTCAATGGCGTGCAAAAAAAATACTTCTCGGTATGTTATACGTTTAATTCTAATTAAAACAAGTATACATAATCATTTCTTCATTGATACAAAACACTATTTTTAAAATTGTGTACTTATCAGTTTGCTAATTAAATATTTGTATCTTGAGACAGCGGTTTAAATGCATGTTGACATTGTGAGTGATGTGAGTATCTAATCTTATAAAAATCCATATCTACTCTTTAGTTTTGCGGCTAAAACGATTAGAAATGTATAAACTGTTAACTAAAAGGATGGAGTACAACCGTGTCTGGTGTAGGGCAGCTACTCACTGAAGACAGTGGGAGACAGTCGCGCAATATCATGCATTGATTGGACTTAGACATTTACACTACTGAATACCGGCCCAGTTGTCTAGAGGTCAAGTGTTTACGCGCAAGACCGAAGATCCCGGTTTTGAACACCACCTGTGGGATCATGGATGCGCAATGCTGAGTCTCATGCTAGGACGAAATGGCCATTCAGTGCTTCCAGGTTTCCAATGGTGGTCTAACATTGTTCCATTCGTGATCTCAATTTCAAACAACTTTGTCAAATTCTTAAATACACCAGTAGTGTTATACTAAAATATTACAATAACATTATTACATACTATGATACTATAGTAGGTGTTAAGTTCACAATAAATGTAATCGACCGTAAAGCAGTAATGAACTAGTATTACAAAACAATTATTATTACTGATTCCAAAATGGTTCATGATTTTTTGAATAGTGAACTTGAAGAAAGAGTACTTAGTATATTAAATAATACTTAATCTATTTTTTGAGGTGTATATTCCTTGCATATTGAGTTCTCTCAACTCAATATAAATTATATATACGTTTATATGCATACATAATATAATTAGTTACAAATTCAGGTGATTGATTTTGATTAATTTGTGAGTTCTAATCTGGATTAATCTGTTATAATGTTTTGTTGTTGTGGGAATTTCAAATTATCCTCAAAAAACTTGGTTAATACTTTTCTTATTGCTTAATAATCAATTGATTTTTCTTATTTTTTTAATGTATGAATGAAGTTACTAAGTAAATTATATTCAGAAAAATTAAATATTCAAGAAATATGTTAAGTAGTTAATGTAATGATCTGAAATGTATATCCAAAAAAGAATAATGTAAAAAATGGTTGTTAATTTACATTATATGATGATCGTACTATAGAAACCCTGAGAAACTATTGAAAAAAACTAAGGGTTGCAAAACAATTATTTTGTTCCATTTCAGATGTTTGCAATATTATCCACTCCTAATAATTGATTTGAGTTTAAATATCCACTGATTCTTAAAATTTTGTCGGCCCTGATTAAAATAAAGCCAGTTCTACTTTAGTATAAAAGAGGTTTATATTTATGCTTAGACAATTATGAAGACATCAACGTCTGAAGGGAAGCGCGGGATACAATGAACATCTAAGATGCAGTTGGATGATCTAGACTTCGCAGATGATCTGGCCTTTCTATCCCTAATGCAACAACAGATGCAGGAGAAGACGAACAGTGTGGCAGCAGCCTCATCAGCAGTAGGTCTCAATATGCACAAAGGGTAAAGCAAAATTCTCCGATACAACACAGCATGCACCAATCCAATCACAATTGACGGAGAAGATTTGGAAGATGCAAAAACCTTTACGTAGTCGGGCAGCATCATTGATGAACAGGGTGGATCTGATGCAGATGTGAAGGCGCGGATCGGCAAAGCAAGAGCAGCATATTTACAACTGAAGAACATCTGTAGCTCAAAGCAACTGTCAACTAATACCAAGGTCAGGATTTTCAATACAAATGTCAAGACAGTTCTACTGTATGGGGCAGAAACCTGGAGAACTACAAAAGCCATCATCCAGAAAATACAGGTGTTTATTAACAGTTGTCTACGCAGAATACTTCAGATCCATTGGCCGGACACTATTAGCAACAACGTACTGTGGGAGAGAACAAACCAGATCCCAGTGGAGGAAGAAATCAGGAAGAAGCGCTGGAAGTGGATAGGACACACATTGAGGAAAGCACCGAACTGAGTCACAAGACAAGCCCTCACATGGAATCCTCAAGACCAAAGGAAAAGAGGAAGACCAAAGAACACATTACGCCGAGAAATGGAGATAGACGTGAGAAAAATGAACAAGAATTGGATGGAACTAGAAAAGAAGGCGGAGGGCAGAGTGGGTTGGAGAATGCTGATCAGCGGCCTATGCTCCATTGGGAGTAACCGGCGTAAGTAAGTAAGCTAGACACTTATCTGCAAAAGACAATAATAGAGTTTTAACGTTCATTTTAATCTCGATTTCTCCCTGAGTAAACCTTAATCATTAAAAAGCTACATGGATCAGCCTTACGATGAAACATTTTGAAAAAAACATTGCATATATATATATATATTTTTGTATCTAGTAGTTGCTTTTCAAGAATAGAAACAATTGAGTATCCCCTGAAAACAAAATGCTGACTGATACCGGTTGAAAAATTGAAGGAACTTAGGGTTTATCCAATAGATATTTGATCCTAATTTACAGCATCGCTGGAGCGTAAAATCGATACCCCACAGGCTATGAAACGAAACCGTTTAGAAAACCACCCTTTTTCATTGATACACTGATATTTTTCAGTAAAGCTTGTTTGCATTATTTGGCATAAAACATTACGATTAAAAACCTTTCCCATGTCTGTATAACCTAAGACAAACATTAACCACTTCTATAGAGAACAATGCTTTCGAACACCTAAGTGTTCATAATTTAAAAAGTCTTTTTAATACCAACTCTATATGATAACCAATTACTTTATAAACTCTGAATACTCAGTACATGTATGTAAATATACATGTTTACCCGAAACAGAAATAATACAGCTTGATTATTATGGATATTAAAACCTTACGACTGAATAAAATATATAGAAATCCTGTGACTATATCCATATATATTTTCACATAGATATCATCTTATCAACTAATTTAATATAAGTAACTATTCCTTAGAAGAAAAATGATAAATTAACAAGAGTCCATACAATATCTGACTATGTATATTTAATTCAGCTTAAAAATACAATAAATTTAAGTTAAGAATTAAAATTGTTCATGGATGTCTCAATGGTTCAAGAAAACAAAATTTAACTTCCCTGTATTTGATTTCTCTGTTTTGATCCATCTAATCAATAATTGATTTCAACTTATTTTTATCAGAAAACCTGACGACAGTTCGCTCTTTATTCCATATGGTATCTTAGCCACAATTCTGAAAATAGTTCTAAAGCCAATACAAGAAATAAATAAAGAGTTCTTATCAAAGTCCTATCGTTTCTAAGCTAACGTCATTGTATTGAGAAAAACTATTGTTGATTGTGATCTTGTTTTCTCATATAACTAGATTATTCACTTTAAGATATTTGTAGGTACAGTATGACCACAGGATCAAATTTATTGTTGGAGTTGTATAAAACGACAGTTCATATTTGAATTTATTTGTGGTGATCGATTATGTCTTGGCAAGGGTAAATCAAATGATTATTCGATAAATTAAAATTATAATAGAAATAATTAATACTAAATATGGTTTTTGTTATATCTCAATGAGTAGAAAAATTGTATTTCTGACGTTTCGTGACTTAATATAGACCACTTTTTCAGAGTAAGTAAATAACTCAATGCTCAATTTATTTAAAACTACGAAGTCCAACCATAGCATTGATACTTACGTAATAGAAATTGTCTACCAACTAGTTATGTCTTTGTATTGACTTTGTTTGTGTAAAATGAAATGAACATCAAGATATTGCTTTCATAATTTATTTTCTTCACTCTTTCATTCAATTGAATACTTTCAAAAAATCAATAACTAGTAAAGAGATCAATGAAATGATATCACTGTTACATTCCTACCTTACCCATACTGCATATATCCTAGTTTAAACCTAATGAATAATCATCTATATGAATAGCTAAATTTATTTCTTTCTGTATAAACAATTAAAGTTCTATATTTTCTAAAGAAAACACTTTTTGTCTCATTAATAAAACTTTCTAAATAACAAGAAGTAACCAAATTCATTATCGTTTTATATTTTCATCAATTTCTCTGTTTAATTAAAGATGATTTCAGTAGACTACTGATAATTATTATTCAAATGAGAATTTAATATATTTAAAAATGAAAACCTTAATTATTGAATATTGAAAACTGATTAAATTGGTTATTCATTTAGATTTCATTGTAAATGAATACATGAACAATTTATTTACCAAATGATTACTGTTTTTGAATATATTTGATCTACTTGATAATGTTGAATAGAGTGTAAACAATAAAGTTGACAGAATAAAATGATTTTCTCATATTTTGATGCCCTATATTAGTTATAAACAGTCTATTGTTATAAAAAATAATTTGATTAGAAATAGAGATATTGTAGTGAACAAGAACACGATTGAGGGACAATCGAATGTTTCTGAACACGAAATTACAGAACATCACACTAAAATCTGAGAACAATACAGTAAATATTTAGTTTTTCAATATATCAATCCATCTTCTCAAACTTGACTGTTCCTTTCGCAAATATCAGTCAATCGTCTCAGATTTCATTGTTCCTGAATTCTCATACGAATCGCATTCCATTTTCGTTCTTTCCTTCTCGATCTTCTACTGAAATACATTCTATGCCTGACTATCATTATACACTACTTATGTGGATATAAGTAGCTCACTATATGACATACTTCATGAATTTATGATGAATATTCGAATACGTGATAATTAATTAACAGGACAGAAAAGAAAAACAGTAGAAAAAGATGTTTATCGTGAAAATTGTCTTATGAAATGTAAATGCAATGACAAAACAAGTACTAGTTTTCTTAATAAAAAATATATAGTTCTGTAATCACCATAAGAAATGAAAATCATTATGCAAGAAAAAGAAAGATCATTCAACTTGGATTACCCTCTTTTTGTAAAAATAGAGCGGCTTAGAAATGCTTGATAAT